GGGGGGGGGGGGGCTCAGGAAGGGGAAGAAGAGAAGGAGGGGGCACCTGGCCCTGGGGACTTGGCGTTGCCCTTGGGTACCCTCCTGTGACTCTTCTGCAATTCCTTGGATCTGGTCTCCTGATGGCACATGAAAGTTAAATATAGTCTCATATGATGAATGTATGAGGGTTATCATTCCCAATTATTATGCTGTTCTACGCTCAGCGGCATTACGCATGTAATGTACGCTTGCAACCTCAAACCCTTCCAGGTAGCATTTACCGCGGTCATTGACCCAATTTCTTGCTTAGGATTCCACAGAAAATAAATGCTCCCAAATGTCAATTCCAGACCGGTTGATTCCAGAGATAGGGCTCCTGCGTATCCTTTGCTGGCACCTGCTCCTTCGCGTCCTCCTCTCTTTGCCTGCTCCTACAACCTATCTGAATAACACATGACCATGGAGTCAACAATTCAGGGTCCAGAGGATGGACCCAGACAGCAGAGATGAGGGTAAATTAAGGCTCAAGTCTAGATAGAAATAAATAAAATGGATTTAATAATGGACATAGCAGGGCAAGGTTAAATGTTARTTTTCAGCTTTTTCCATAAAATACATTACTACAAATTTAGAAGCTTAAACCAACACAAATTTATTATCTTACAGTTATGTGGTTCAGTAGTGCAATAGGAGTCCCAATGAATTAAAATCAAGGAGCTGGCAGGGTTAAACTCCTCCTTCTCCAAGTAGAAGAGATCCATCTCCTTGTGTGTGTGTGTGTGTGTGTGTGTGTGTATGTGTGTGTGTGTGTACTTGCACCGGGGATTGAATCCAGGATCTCACATATACTAGGCAAGTGCTCTACCACTACCCTATATCCCCAGCCCTGCATATGCAACTTCAGAAAGACACCCACATTTATTTGGTCATGACTCCCTCCCTCCATCTTCAAAGCCAACAATGAAACATCTCCAACCCTGCTTCTGTTATCATATCTCTTTCTCTGGCTCTCATCTATCTCCTTCTTCCACTTTTAAGGGCCCAGGGAGTAGATTAAACCCAGTAGTAGATTAAACTAGCCAGAAAATTCTCCCTATTTTGAAGTCAGCTAATAGCAACCTCTGTGTTATTTATAATTTTAACTCCTCCTTGCTATGCAATGTAGCGCATTCACAGATTCTAGGGATTAGGATGTGGACATCTTTGGGTACTCTGCCTCCCCAGAGACCTGGAATTCCTAAAGCAGAGATGTGTTTGCTACCTTATCCCATATCCCATGCTTAGGATGTCCCTGGCCTCCAGCCCTCATAAGCCACTGCCACAGTCATCCTATATTATTTTAGTTCTACACTATTCTTTAGTAGAAATGATATGGATATTTTTGCATGATTATCTATTTGAATTTTTATTTCCTTCTTTTGACTAGAAGCCTCTCAAAGGCAGGATTCAACTCATCTTTCCACCATGGAGCCTCCAGTACCTGTCACCAATCCTTGTCGGAGAATATGCTTGGAAAATATTTATGGAATGAGTGATTGGAAGGGCTATAACCAGGAAATCCTTATTTGAGATCAAGGGATAGAAAGGACTTTTCAGACACTGAAAATGCTGGAACCCTAAGTCTGGAGGAGGATAATATGTGTCAAAGATAGGCCAATCAGAATGGAAGCCATGGGGTAACCAAAATGGGGAGCTTCAGTTTCAAAAGGTTGAGTTGGGTGTGCATGTCCTGTGGAAAATCTGTTACCTCAGAAAATAGAGATGGGGGCTTAGGACATGGCCATAGAGATTATCCTTAGAGTTGAATCTGCATGAGTGGATGGGGAAAAGGAATAAATAGCTATAGCCTGGCCTCATAGACAGAGCCATGGGGAAGGAACATGCTTAGGAACCAAAGACCCAAAAGGCTGCAAGGGAAAAGTAGGTTGACAGGTGGAGTCAAATGTCCCAGAAGCCCAGGAAGGAGAGCCTTGAGGAAGATTGCCAGTAATGAGCATTGCCATAAAACTCTGGAAGAATGCCATCAGGCCACTGATGTCACAGTAACATCCACAAGTGCAGGCTGGAGCAGAGGGCACCAGACTGCTAGATGATTGAAAGAAGGAGGGTTAGTGAGGAAGACGGCTTGGAGCCGTAGGGTTGGAGATCTGGACTCACACACCAGAGCACCAGAGTCTTATCTTAGCCCCCCACTAACCACAATGGAGCCTTGGGCCAGGGGTAACGCCAAAAGCCCTGTTTCCTCGTGTGTACAGTGAAGGTATCCCAGCTTAGACAATACCAGGGCTTGGACACTGACCTGTCAGTCTCTCCCTCTTGCTAGAGCCTCCCTCACTCTTCACAGGCCTCTGGACTTGGTCATCCTGCCATTCTTAGTGGAGTTATTTCCACGGAGGTGCATTTAAAGCCACTCCCCAATGTTCAATTGCATGGTCTTCTCTTTCGGCTCCAGATGTTAGAGAAAGAGGGACCCTTCCTGCGTCTAACCGAGAGGATCTGGACAACTTTTAACCTAAAGGATACATCTATATTTGCTCCAGCTGTTAAAGGTCATCTGCCAGCRTGAGCCAGGTCTTGGGTGCGGGTTCAGGAGGCCATTCTGCTCTCACTGCTGAGCAGCTCTGACCTCTAGAATTTGGCTGGGAAGAGGACCCAGAAGCCAACACTCCCTGGATGAGATACATTACTAGCCCCTGATGCAATCTCCCCTGCTTCTTTGTATAGCAGGTGGGGACAGGTGTCTGGAAGTTGTGTCTGGTTCTGCACCTCCCTTTGGCTTTGCACAATGTGGGGCCCGGGGAGGGTGCAGCTGTCCTCTGAAGGGTCCCATGCAATGGGCTTGAGGAGGGATGGAGAACCTGGACTGGGCTGTTCTCCCGCAGTCCTATGTAGCATGGTGAACAGGAGGAGGTAGAGATGTCATCTAAGGAACAGGGGAAGTAATCCCTGTTTCTTATATCTTCAATCCTATGAGAAACGTTCAAATAATATACTCATGGATAAAGAAGTTAAATACACTTTGTCCAAGGGCACACAGTGACTACAGAACYGAGTTTGAATCCAGATGATCTGGCTCCAGAGCCCAAGTTTCTGCCCACTAGATTAGGTATAAATGAACAGCAGAGCCTGCTGTGACCTGAAGGGTGACACAAGTCACACTAGCCTGTATTGGCATCACTTCCACGGCAGGTAAGCAGGACAGTAGTTCCTTTCCCCCATCAGGTCCTCCTGCTCTGCTAGGATTTTCCTGCTCTCACAAAACATCCACATGAGGAAAGGGCCCTTCCCCACTACCTCACTCCCCACGAGCACTCCTAGATAGGCAGCCCCTGACGACAGAGAAACATCTCTTTCATCACCCAACCCCAGCACCTGGCAAGGGTCTCAGCACACAGTGGGAGTTCAATAGTGTTAGCTGTTTGGGTTTGTTTTGGTTGTTGTTGTTGCTTTGTTTTTGGTACCAGGAATTAATCCCAGGGATACTTAACCACTGAGATACATTCCCAGCCCTTTTTACATTTTATTTAGAGACAGGGTCTTGCTAAATTGCTTAGGGCCTTGCTAAGTTGCTGAGGCTGGCTTTGAACTCACGATCCTTCTGCCTCAGCCTCCCGAGCTGCTGCATCACAGGCACACTGTGCCTAGCCTACCTGTCTGTTTCTAAATCAAGTCCAACCTTCTCACTTTAGAGATGAAGATGCTATTGTGCAAGTAAAGTGAACTGTTACAGGACTCACCTTCTTCATTTGAAGGGCTTGTTCTTTCACTTTGTTCCAGAGACCATGGAGACCCAGTCATGTTCATGGGTAGAGTAAAGACAGGACCACATGGGCTGAGCAGGTGGGCCATCACTGGTGGGGACAGAGAAAAGGATCTGGGTACCAGGTGCCTGGTTTTGTCTGGTCATCACCTTGGACTTATAAAGCACTTTCTACATAATCCAGTTTTAGCTCAACCCATAGGACATCACATTAAAACCCAATGCAGGAAATTTGGGGTCATTTGTAGCTTTTCAGGAGCAAGTAGTTTGGCAAATAAAACCTTGAAGCCTAGCCCTCTTGCAAGAATGTGGCCTTTTTTTCTACTGAAGACTTATTGATGACTTCAGTCACAGCAAGGCCTGGTGCTCATTTATACCAAACCTAGCAGATAGCAATGTGGACTTTGGAGCCAGAACATCTTGGTTCAAACTCAAATGGCCAGAGTGGTTCTGCCATAGCTCAGGGGGCTCTCCTTGGGCCATTTTAAGCAACAGCAGTGCTCATTTTCAGGCCCTGGGTTTCAAGTTTAGAGACCTGAGCTTGCTATTTGATTCCATTAAAGTAATTTGTTTGGACCATGGCCACTTGCTTAGGAATTATCAAAGCTGGATTTTGAACTCAAATCCATGCATTGCACAAAAGCTGCCTCCTTT